GCGGTTCAATCCCCCAGCACCACATGCCAGCCAGCCCCGCCCCCTGGTGGGCTGAGCTGGCCACACATACCTCTCTCTCTCTCTCTCTCTCTCTCTCTCTCTCTCTCTCTAATAAATAAAAAATTAAAAAAAAATACACATGCTGGACCTCACATCTAAGCTCTCAGGCAGAACACAGGGCTGTCGCCACACCAGCTGTGCCTTATTCAGAGCCTGGTGTGTGCCTCTCCATGTCCAATGCTGGCTTTGGCCTTTGCACCTAGCAAAGAGTTCTGTACATGGAGGGGGAGTCACTTTGGATCCTGCCCTGATCTTCCTTTGCTAAGGATTAGATCAAGGTGCAGTCACAACCTGACAGCATCTTCCCTCCCTCCTCTGAACGTGAGAACACTGACAGGGACCTTGCCCAGCCCGAGGATGTGTTGAGGACTTGAGGGCAGGCTTTCACCTCAGGGTCAGTCAGGAAGCGTTTCTCACACTCCTTCTGACTCCCTCCTCCTCACACTGCCTGTGCGCACTCTGAAGGGCTCTAGGGCAAAGGCACAGGCTCTTGGAGAGTGCTCTGCCCCAAATGCCACATCCTAATTACTCAGCAGGACCCCATTTTTTTGTTTTTTTGTTTGTTTTTTTTTTTTTTGCCAGCTCAGCCTACCCTGAGGGTGAGGCTGGCGCAGCATGTGGTGCCAGGGATTGAACTGTGATCCCCAGTGCCTGCCTAAGCTTGCCTAAGCAGGCACTTTAGACCACTGAACTATCTCACCGGCCCCAGCAGGAGCCCATGTTTAACAGCTATTCATTGCAACCTGGAGGGATGCATGAGGCTGGCCTGCATCTCTGCATGGATGGAGTCTGCGCAGCACAGAGCTGCACGTCCTCGTCTACTCCCTCCATCCTGTCAGTCAGCCCCCACTGCCCTCACCTGCCCATCTCCACCCACCAGGCTCCTCAGGCATTTCTGTGCCTCTGATGTGTCCCCCACCCTGACATCCTCTGCAGATGCTGTGGGGATGGGTGCCGGCTGCTGCCAGGGCCTCCCTGAGGCGTTGCTTGGCTATGGCTGGCTCACATGGGCTCACTGCTTCTGTGCTTCACCACACTTTGATTCCCAGAGGAGCCCCAGGGTGGGCTGCGTTCTGGGCTTCGAGGAGATGCCCCTTCAGTGGCCAGATGCCCAAGGTTGCCCGTCTCATTTATGTGAAGAAACGTGCTGCAGGAAGGCAGAGGCGCTCGCACCGTGCTCTACGTGGCTGGTGGAGCCCTCCGTCACTTGGCCACACACAGCCTTCCCCTTCTCCCTCCCCTGGAAAATACTGGCAGCCCTGGGCATGAGCCCCAAACCAGAGCTTGTCCCTGCTTGGAGCAGTTATTTCTTCAACTGCTCTACCTCCTGGGCTCGCGGGCTGCAGGAGGGGCCCTCCAGGACGCCTCTGGAGGTGGTGCCCAGTCCCACACTTGCAGCCTGGGGCACCACGTCAGCCTGCGGTCTGCCTGGGCATCTCGCCGGCCTCACATTTCCTGGCTCTCGCCATCAGGCATCTCTCGTTCTCTCCATGGGGCAGTGTAGAGGGCTGCACATCATTCACTGTATTTAGTCCCGCCTTCTAGTTCCATCTTGTTCCTCGACTGCAGGGAAGTCGTCTGCTGGAGAAGAGGTGGAGGTACAGAGGACTCCAGGACCAGGTACATTCTGTTGCTGACAGGGATGGGGACATGGGGGCCCCTCAGCTGCCCTTTGTCTCAGAGCACTACCTGCTGCCCTCCTGCAGCCTCTGCTCACCCCGTGTCTTCTCCTGATGGCTCACTCTGTCCTGAGCAGACCCTGGTGTCTTCTCTCCCTGCCTGGCTCTTGGATCCTGTCTGGCCCAAGCACAGTCTGCTGAGGAGTGGCTCCCAGGCCAGGCGGGCTGGCCCTTGAATAGCCTGAGCAACAATCCAGCCTGTTCTGTTTTCCTTCTATTATTTTACAGTTTAGAGCAGTTTCAATTTCAGAGAGAAGAGGAGATCCAGGCACCTGCTCACCCCACACATGCATAGTCTGCCCGTCGTCCACACTCCCCCCACCACAGTGGTATAGTGGGTCTCACAGATTGCAGTCACCTAACAGTGTCATTTAGGGTGGCTACTGCTTGGTACTGTTAAGGGTTGCATAATCACATGCAGAGCCCAGTATCCAATCTGATGGCTTCCTTGCAAGGATTGTCCCCACCCAAAATGTCCTCCGTGTTGTGTTTCTTCAGCCCCCTAGTTCCTGACAACCATGGATGGCTCAAGGATTTTCCATCATTTGCCTTTTCCCACATCACATGGAATTGGAGTCAGCCAGCAGGGGGCTCCTGACTTCTCCCATTTAGTAATGTGTGTTGGCCTTTCGCTTCCCTCAGGGCGTCCCGGGGCATTCCAGTCAGCTCTGAGCAGGATTTCATGGCCAGCCGGGCCACTGGTTATTGCCCTGTCCCCTGCTATGCGAGAGCCTTGTTGTTCTCAACTCTTGGTGTTCTGTGAAGGGTTTCAGGAAATATCAATATAGAAGTTTCTGTGTGAATATGAGTTCTCAACTAATTTCTATAATATCAAGGGCCTCAGTGCTGTTTTACTTATTTATTTATTCAATGTGTTTGGTCCAGCGTCTCACTGTTCAGCTTGGACTTGCAGTGAGCCTCCTGTGTCCAACCTCCCTAGTGCTGGGATTAGAGGTGCGCACCACCATGCCCAGTCTCAGTGGCCTGCTGTGAGCTGTGGGGGGTGCCATGTCCCTGAATGGCATGTGATACCAGGTATTGAACCCAGGTCTTTGTATTTGGGTGAGCAGGCATTTAGTCCACTGAGCAATCTCACCAGCCCATACATTTGTTTTTGAAAGAACAGCCAAACTGCCTTCCAAGAGGATCACCGTCTTGAGTTCCCACCCACGAAGTGGGACCATCCAGCTGGCCCACATCCTCACCAGCGCTGGTTGCATCAGAGCCTGGGCTGCTGCCGTGCCGCCTGCTGGGTCCTGTGCCTCTCCCTGGGGTTTCTCTCCCGGCCGTGGGGCGCAGGAGATGCTTGTGCTACTGATATAGGGGCCTGAAATTCTCAGCCTGTCCTGAATGAGTTCGTGTTCTCTAAAACTGAAGAATGAATTTTAGGAACAAATGGAGGTTGAGGGTAAAACTATTGGAAAGGAAAGCTTCTGTTGGAGAGGGGCAGAAGGGGGTCCCGAGTGGGTTGCCCAGGAAGCTGTCTCCTTCAGGTTATTTTATAGGACAAAACCATGCGGGGCTAAGGTAGAGACAAAGGAGTCTCGCTTAGGCGGATACAGGGTGGGACAAAGCTATGGTCAACCAAAGGGATTGTAAGCACCATTGCTCAGGTAAAATTTATTAGGCCTAGGACCAAATGGGGTAGCGAGTCACGTAGCAAGCGGGCATGAATGTAAATCAGGACCTTGTCTGGTGGCCTTCAGTTGGTGATTCTTCCCAACTAATGAGCAATCCTGGATGCCAACTTTAGGGAGGTCAGTATTTGTTTGATCTTTAGGTCTGGCTCACACCAGGAGCATCTCCCCAGTAAGGTGTCTGGTCTTTGTCATTCCCTTCGAGGGCCTGTCCCTAACTACCTACAATATTTCTATCTAACTCAGGTTGCCTGCAACAAGGGGACCATGGGCGATGACCATTCTGGCTTCTTCACGCTGAAAGGGGTGGTAGTTGTTGATCTACGGTCAGATGTACTCTTTAGAGGCTCTACGTAAAGGCCCTCGATAGATAACAGGCATTTTTCTCTTGGGTGGACGTATAGCTTTGAGTCTGGAGGAGACAAAACCAAAGAAACAATTAAGTATGCATGAGCCCAATAATAGTATCAACAGGGGGATTATGAATATAGTCAACAAAGGTTTCCACCAGGAAGAGTTAGTAATGGCTTCCCATAAGGATGATAAAGATAAGGTCCAAGGGCTTCAAGGTCGGACATACCATTGATCTGTTTTTTAATATCTTGAACAGCTACTGAAATATTTGCAGAAGGATCAGGAATGTACACACAACATTCAGTTTTTATAGTGCTGCTGTTAGTACATCCAGTGCCATCCGATTTTGGAGGATGGCCTGTCTCATTAATTTTACTTCTTCGTTTAAAAGAGAAAGACCAGTTGCGGTATCATTTAAGACCCGCTGAGTATAGCTGGTTAAGGCCTCAATGTGTTTCATGACCTCTTCTAGCCCTAGAGAAGGGATAAAAATAGAGGCCAAGTGATCATACCAGTGAAACATGCTTCTGGACCATTGGTGTTGTAGGTGGAGTAAATTTGCAGGTTTGTGGATATTTTTGACACTCCTGCCTTGTAACCAGGCAAACCCTAATGTGCATCTCCCTATCCATCCAGGGGGTAACCAGGGCCACAAATTGGTTCCACAAGACCAATGAGTGCCATTGGGAGCCTTTCATCTAAGGTCAAGATGATCACAACAGTCCGATGCAAACCAATCTCCAGGCTGTAAGGTTATTGTATGTATACACTGGTCAGGGGAAGTCCATCCCAAGTATTTAGTGGAGTTAGGCCAACGAGAAAATGAGTGATTCTTTTGTTCCCAACATAAAGGGTTTTTTTTGCTGAGGTGTCCTATGGTGGGGGTTAACCATAGATAATCATCCCATATTTGATAATAGTCATCTTGATATCTATGGTTGTTGGTCTTCAGGATAAGCATTTTATCTTGTAATAATGGCCTCATTAATGATTGTAAAGAGTCTTCAGTGGCCTTGAGTGAAAATATTCAATTATGTCCGGGATCACCAAGAGTGTGATATATAGGCCATTTAGTTACTTTATAATGCTGGGCTAAACGATAAACTTTTGAACTCCTTCGTATCTCCTCAATATAGTCTTGTAGTTTGTACCAGTCATCTCCTTGAAGCGGGGATACCCACCAAGGAAGTCCCAATGTACTTGACAAGGGGAGTAAACCACATATCCAACAAGAGGTTTGTTGCAATGACTGCATATTCCTGTGCCCACTTTAAAAAGGAGTTGTATCTTCCTCAAGGAAGCAAAAGTGTTAGTAAAAAGACTAATAGCATCATCACTTATCTGAGGACTTTGTGGGGTTTTTTAACAGGAATCTTAAGTCTTCTATGGGCTCACAGGAGTATTCAGATGATTGTTCGCTTCCAGTGGCAGTTTCTGGTTCCCAGAGTTTGAGTCTGCTGTGATGTATCCAAGAGTCCTGGCCTGTAGTCTTGACAGCTGAAGCAGTCGACAGGATCACTGTGTATGGTCCCTCCCAAGTAGGTCCTAAGGAAGGAGAAGACGAGGGAAGGGACTTTACCAGTACTAAATCTCCAGGGTGAAATATGGGACTTCCCTTTTCTTTAGGCTGAGCTTCTGTGAGCTGTTGAAGAGTTTGTTGAAATTTAGCCAATGAGGTGACATCTCTCAGTAAGTCATCTGTTTCTTTATCAAAGAGAAAATCGTCAGTGAGAAAAGGATGTCTGTAAAGCATTTCAAAAGGACTGAGGCCTAAGATTTGAGGTGTATTCCTTAGTTTAATCAGAGCTAAAGGCAATAAGTGAGGCCACTGCAGATGGGTCTCCTGAGCCATTTTACGAAGATGTCTCTTTAGGGTTTCATTGACTTTTTCTACCTTTCCTGATGATTGTGGCCTCCTTGCACAATGGAGGTGATGGTGAATACCCAGCGCTTGAGAGACATTTTGTGTGACCATTGCTTTGAAGGAAGGCCCATTATCACTCTGTAAGCTCTTTGGAAGTCCAAATCTAGGGATGATTTCTGAGACTAAGACTCTTACCACCTCTAGGGCCTTTTTTGTTTTGTAAGGGAAGGCTTCGACCCAGTTTGTGAAAGTATCTACCCAGACCAATAAGTACTAAAGTCCCTTACTTTTTGGCAGATGAGTAAAATCAAGCTGTAATCTTTCCTAGGATATTTACCATGTCTCTGTATATCTGGAAGAGCTAGTTCAATTAAGGGCATGGTTTTTTGACAGAGCTCACATGTCTTACTTATCTGTTTTTTTGTCTAGGAAAGTCCTTTTTTATGAATAGTTTTGAGGCCAACTGTTGGGTAACTACTGACAAATCTGTATGAGCTTTTATCAAACATCTAATAGGCTTTTTTATATTGGCAGTTAACATGGGTTTCCTCAGCCTGAGAGAGAGGGAAGACACATGACCACCTCAAACTGAAACTTTTTTGGCTCCATCATGAATATTTTTTTTTCTCTAGCATCTTTGGATATTTTTGCTTGAAATGTCCCTTTTTTCTGTCTTGATCCAGGAGAGCATAACTTTTTTTTTTCCTGACTGACCTTTATTTTATAGGCTCTTAGTATCACTATTTAATTTTTTGTGTATAATTTTATTTTGTATCCTTTTTACTATGAAACACTTTTTGAGAAATGTTTATCAACTGAGACAAATTTATTTTTGTAAACCCTTTTAACTTCTGTTCTTGTGTCAGATATCTAGGGTTTACTCAGCAAGATATAACTTTTTAGTTTTAAGGCCTTAATATGTGTCTCTATAGACAAAATCTGGTGGATCCCAGTTAAAGTAATATTAATCTAGCATATTTGTTATAGATTTTACCTGTATGATTACCTGGGTTTTGGTATCTTCTAGGAGAGAACAAATTTTCTGAGAAATTAGAGCATATATAATCAAAGCATGAACATGCAAGCTAACAGGTACATTTATAAACCCCTTTGTTTTGAGACTTAACAACTGTAACTCACTAGCTTTTAGACCTGTTTATTTATGGAGTCTGACAGTTTTTTATAAGTCTCTCTAGCTTTAGTTAAGAGACATTAGACCTATATTAACTATGAGCACGAAATACCTGAGTTACATCAGAAATCAACCAGATTAACTTATACACTTAATCATGAAATACACAGCATTTAGTCAGATTAAACCAATGAAATACCTTATAAGTCCTTGTACATGAACAACAATATATATTACATTTGTAAAAACTAGTCTTAGCATAATTATGATGAGTTAACAACCTGAGTATATTGTAGTATCTCGGTTACAGCTAAAGCAAGAAGTCTTTTAAAGTCTGTTTTTATTGAGGCAAGATGACTGGAAGGAACGTCAGGGCTGGAGAAGGACAAAGAGACTTGTGCTAATATCCAGCAACAGGCCGGGCTTTTCTCTAGTTATAATTCCTCAGGGCTCCTCCATGGAGATGACAGGTAGGGATAACAGTCCGGCCAGAGGGAGGAGGCAGGCCCAGCGCCTTCAGTCCCGCTGGGCCATCTGGGAAGCTGAGTCTGAGCCCTGGGGCCTCGCCTCAGAGTGCAGTCTCACTTCTAGTGGCTGTCTTGGCAGTCGGGGCCTGGCTTGTGGGCCTCTTACGGCAGTCCCTCTTACAGCGAGGGGCCTGGCTTCTGACAGCAGCAGCAGATAAGCCTCATCATCGTTGAGCTCTTCTTGGAGCCCAGAGAATCAGACTTAGAGTCTGTTTTGAGGCTGTAACAATTGCAGTCATTTTTATCTCTGTTTTTTCTCCCTGGTTTTCTCCCAGTTTTAATTATAGGACACTTAAACAGTTTTTAGTAAAGTATCAAATCAGTTGTCTGGAGCAAAAGCTATCTTTTGTACCTCTTGAACTTATCTATAAAAGTTATCTATTTTTTTATTAACATCTCACAAAGCATGCTTTACCAGTGCCTCTATTAAACATTTAAAGAAATCAGAGGGGTTTTATCTTTTTCCCGGTAAACAGCTAACATTTAAAATAACTACAAGGCTTAGTTCTAATTCTTAGATGTTTAAGAATATACACTTGAAAGAAAATGTCTTTTTTTAGTTTTCTTGCCTGGCTATTAGGGTACCAGGGATCTGACTATTTGGGCTCCAGTGGGAACTGGAAGTTCCACTGGCTGTCTATCTCTTGGCTTTTTAAAATTAACAATATTTTTTTCAAATGCAGTAGCAGCTTGTAATACTGCCTGTATTTCCATAGAAGTCAAAGCTTGGTTTAAGATTAACATTATGTCTTTTTAATCTAGTTTATAAATCTGAATAATTCCTATAAAAGACATCAATGTACTTATCAGGGTCATCTAAGGCACATGAACTGTGGAAGTTCCAAACTGTCTCTTCACTTTTTTAAAATGTATTTGTCCTTGAGGATCTTGTATAAACTCAGCTAAGAATGGGTGTAGCCTTTTAGAGGCCTTAATTGCAGTTGTTTATAAGCCCACCCTGTAGAAAGGCAAATACAGGGGAAGCCTTGCTTTCAGTGGTGGTGGCGAGGCTGAACTGCCTGGTTCTCCTGTTGCTCACATCTACATTTTAAAACTTAAATAACAATAACCTTCTTAATACAAACAAAATCTGAACATAAGACATTTTTGCCGCTTCTTTACATCATTCTTTTAGTTATAAACTAGCATCACAGTTAATGCTTTCTTCTTTATTCCATTTAAATGGCTCTTTAACATATAAGGAGCAAACGTCTTCGGGTGCCTAATGAAGCACACTCTAAAAGAGTAAGAGGGGCTGGTGAGATGGCTCAGTGGTCTAAAGCACCTACTTGGAACAAGCTTAGCAAAGCACAGGGACCGCGGTTCAATCCCCCAGCACCACATGCCAGCCAGCCCCGCCCCCTGGTGGGCTGAGCTGGCCACACACACACACACACACACACACAAATAAAATTTTAAAAATAAATAAATAAATAAAAGAGTAAGAGACTTTGACTGTGAGACCTCCACATCTGGAATACAATAAGAAATTAACACTTAGGGCGTGTCCCCTCCTTATTTCTAATTGATTCCCTCACTCAAGGTGTCCCTTGAGTAAACCTCTCCAGAGCAGGTGGACGCTCCTGTTGGAGAAAAGGGAGACAAGATCCCACCAACCTATCCATCCTCGAGCTGGTGCGGACTCTTATCTCCTGAACATCTCACAAACCCTTCACTTACTCTTCCTGACCATTTGTGAGTTAACAGCTACAATTAGTCCAGTGTTAGCAATGTGTACAGAAGGAAGCACAGCCATGGCACAAAAGGTCAATTAGAAGGGAGCAATTCTCGGGCTATAAAGATCACTCCTAGAGATTGATGGAGGAATTGACTGGGAACCTTGACACCGTGCACTGAATCAAGTCTCTGAGCGCCCGGTTCCATCCGATCACCTAGGTAAACATTTTTAGCAACTAGACAAGATTTAACCTCAGAGCTCACAGAGAAAACTTATATTTATCATATAGCAATCGCATGTTATATGTTGGTAAAGACAATACAGCTGGCAAGCATCTTACGCTTAGTTAACACGTAAGGCACAGGTATACATCACCTTCCCCTAGTAGCCACTGCGGAATGTAAACTATTGCAAGCTGCCTCAGCCTGATTTATGAAGGAGTGACTCATTAACTTGTTCTACTGAAAGTCTCAGGTAGAATTCTTAGTTTATTAGCAAAAAGGGAGAAAAAGTACAATAGGTAAGTGGAGATCTTTCAGTGGTCAGGAGCCAGTTTCCACCAAGGAACCTTCGGGTTTGGCGCCTTCTCCCCTCAGGCATTCTTGGCTTCTTTTGGCCCACACACCCAGAGATGTGTCCAGAAAGGAATCCAGCACTTTCTCCGGTCAACATTCCATCAGCCATAGGCTGTAATGGGGATTCCCCAAAGAACAGCTGGGAAACCTGTCCTCTGCTTCAAAGAGTGGCAGCTGCTCTAAGAGCATGTACTAGCTGGCAGAGTAATCACTGTTTGTCCAAGTTCTATAACGAATACTTAAAAGCCTGAACAAGATTACTAGCACTTTACACTAAGGGTTATAAAGTCCATAACTTATCTCTTATGTACCTAAATGATTAGACCTAGGGGAAAAGGTTCAATCCTCCCTCACACTAAATGTGTTTTGGTCCCATAAGTGTGCTGCTTTTGGAGACAGCTCCTTCTGGTGTCACCCAGAAGTCGGTTCTCCCCACTGTGTCTCAGGTTTAGCCTCCCGAAGGAGACCTGCCCAGAACACTAAGCTGGGACATGGCTTTTATATGTGTTTGCTTGGACAGGCATAGTCCTCTTTGTCTCATCTGACCCAGAGACAGGGTATGTGTCCTTTTTCTAAAATGACTTCCTTGTCTTTGGCGTTAATAAATGCTCATTTTCTAAGGGCTTCACTTAGTTGGAACAGTCAGGGTTTTCCTAATTTTACATGCCTCTAAAAAGGAAAGTACAAAGAGGTAGGAAAATTAGGAGTAAGGTCAAAGAAAAGAAACTAAAACAGATCAGGCCTGACATTTCCTCTAGCATCTAGAGGGAGATCAGAACCAGTCCATCCCGGTGAAACCTGTCCTCCAAGTCTTTAAGAATGGTTGCCAACCAAATGTCATTTAACTGGCAAAAGGAGTCCCGTGTTTCATATACAGGCATATATATTTCTGAATCCAAGCTGGCTAAAAGTCCCATTTTACAGAAGTTTGCATAAAGTACGCTAGGAGGCTTAACTTTGCTCTCGCTAGCGCTATTGTCTAAAGTCAAGCAAGGAATTTCAGTACATTTAGCATCTAGTTCAAATGCAACATGTACAAGTACAAGATAGTCATAAAATGTCCTTTTAGAGAAATATCATAACATTGTAACATTTCCATGTTTTAACTTAGATTTACCCACAACATTTTGATCAACATTTTAACAAAATCATGTAAAAGACAAGGCATAAGCAATTGCAAGCAATTTTAACAGAACTATATGAAACAGAACTGTATGAGGCAAAGCATGAACAATTATGAGCAATGGGCAAAGACATATTAACATTTGAAGCATAAAAATTTGTTACCTAAGCAAGTCCCAATTCAGAATTTATGAAAGAAAAGCAAACTCATACCTCTGTCCAATGATCTCAGTGGAACCTCCAAATGATATAGGGACATGAAATTCCCAACCTGGCTTGAATGAATTTGTGTTCTCTAAAACCGAAAAATGAATTTTAGGAACAAACGGAGGTTGAGGGTAAAACTTTATTGGAAAGGAAAGCTTCTGTCAGAGAGGGGCAGAAGGGGGTCCAGAGCAGGTTTCCCAGGAAGCTGCCTCTTCCAGGTTACCTTTATAGGGCAAAACCATGCAGGGCTAAGGTAGAGACAAAGGGGTCTCGCTTAGGGGGATACAGGGTGGGACAAAGCTATGGTCAACCAAAGGGATTGTAAGCACCATTGCTCAAGTAAAATTTATTAGGCCTAGGACCAAATGGGGTAGCGAGTCACGTAGCAAGCAGGCATGAATGTAAATCAGGACCTTGTCTGGTGTCCTTCAGTTGGTGATTCTTCCCGACTAATGAGCAATCCTGGATGCCAACTTTAGGGAGGTCAGCATTTGTTTGATCTTTAGGTCTGGCTCACACCAGGAGCATCTCCCCAGTAAGCTGTCTGGTCTTTGTCATCCCCTTTGAGGGCCTGACCCTGTCTAACTACCTACAATATTTCTGTCAAACTCCAGCTGCCTACAACACTACGTGTTCTCTGCTGAGGAGTCCCTGACATCCAGGTCTGTTTTTAGCGCTTGTTGGTTGGTTTCTTGTTCTTCAGTTCTACAACTCTGTGTATTTTGTACTATAGTCCTTTATCTGATGAGTGTTTATAATATAGCAAGAAAGTTTCCTCAAGCCCGAAGACTTCTGTTACCTGGTGACCCTTCCGGTGACATTTCCTCTTGCTTCTCTCTCTTAGAAGTGGCTGCTCACTGCGATACATGAGGTATGAACCATCAGAGAGAGCCCCGCACACTACATCTCCTTCACTTTGAGATCCCACAAACCCCTTCCTCCCTGAGCCTTTGAGACCTGACTTTTCTATCATGATGGATGCCCTGTCAGTGCAGGTCTGATGTTAAGTAAATCTGCCTCCAAATAGTGGGTGTAGTTTTGATACTTTGGTTGCCATAACAGTAATTTGGAAACTGAACCCAGAGCCCTTTCTAATATTTTGGAGACAGAGCTTTCTTGAGTTGCTCAGCCTGAGCTTGTCCCTGTGTTCTTTCTGCATTCGCATCTGTACCAACACCCACCCCCAGGCTAGGGCTACAGGCAAGGCCACTGCTCCAGCTCCCCTGAAAACTTTTTTGAAAAAAATGTATTGAGTATAAGGTCTACAGGGTCTCTCTACATACATGGGACTCATAGTGATCCTCCTGTTTTCAGCCTCTCAAATGCTGGGATTACTGGTGTGTGGCACCATGCCCAGTTTCAATCACCCTCTCAGTGTGCACCGGGGGCAGGGCCAGCATGGCTCGCAGCTGATGGCACCCAGGCCTCTGTGCTGTGCCTAAGCAGACACTTCAGCCTGCTGAGCTACCTGGCCAGCACCTGCAAGTCTTTTTTGCTAGTCAGTCGATATTTCCTCATATTCTTTTTTTTCTTTTTTTTTTTTTTGTGGAACTGGAGATTGAACTCAGGCCTTTGTGCTTGCAAGGCAAGCACTTATTTTACTGAGCTATTTCTCCAGCCCCTCTTCATATTCTTTTGAAACTGTATTCAAAAATTTTAAAACTTTAACAAAGTCATTTTACCACATACACATCTTTCATGGATGAACCTTCATTGCATCTCTAACTCAACCCCACAGCCAGGTCCTTGGTTTGGGCTGTTCCCTTTGTTCATGTTATGCTCAGGCCCATAACATGTCTTATTTTGAGGAAGGGTGCACATGTGGCCTCTGGCCATCCCTGCACTTCTGCTGAAAAGAGCACACTCCCCTTGCTGCATGCCATCACGCCTTGCACTGAGACTGGCTGCGGACCGCAGGGTCACCAGTTTGTGGGCTCCGCTTTGGGCACTAGTCCGTCAGCCTGGTCTTCCATGGGCATCGCACTGTCTCAATACTTCCAGCTCTGTAGTCTGAAGCCAGGTGTTGGGGTCACCCTCCGCTGGTGCAGAGGTCTGGTGCTGGTTCTACTGCTGCTTCAATTATGTACCTAGCCAGACAAAGAACCAAAGGGATGTGAACACAGGGTAAGGAGGCATGAATGTCTGAATGGAAAATCAGATGCTGAAATCAGTGAAGAGTGTCCTGAAGGGGCAGGGAGAGCAAGGAAAAGAAAGAGCCTGGAGAAGGGGTGGCTCTGCTCTGAGCCAGGACTCCTGGTGACACTCAAGGGAAACTTTTCCCAGTTCTGATGAGGCACCTGGACAGAGGTACTGCCCTGTCCTGACAGGGAAATGGGGCCTCCCCTCATGGGCTACCCTTGACCTTTCCACTCTGTTCTTCTTCTAGAGACCTCGACAGTACCCAGCCATGGGTCAGGGGTCCTCCACAGACACTAACACGGAGAGTGCTGACCGAGGCTCCAGCTTCAACAGTTATTTTGAAAATTTCAAGGTGGAAAGTAGAATCATCTCAGAGGAAACAAAGGACTTGATTCAGTGCTATCTTGAGAAAGGGGACATTGTGAGAGCAGTTGTTACAGCTAACAAGGCGCTGAATGACATCGAGAACGCTTCACTGAGCATTGCGGTGACTGGGGAGACTGGATCAGGAAAGTCCATGCTCATCAATGCGCTGCGGGGGCTGGGGCCTGAGGACAAAGGAGCCGCGGCCACTGGGCCGGTGGAGACCACCATGAAGAGAGCCGAGTACAAACACCCGAGCCTGCCCAGTGTCTCAATATGGGACCTGCCCGGCCTCGGGTCCACCAGTTTCCCTCCTGAGACGTATCTGGAAGACGTGAAGTTTGCCGAGTACGACTTCTTCCTCATCGTCTCTGCCTCGCGCTTCAAATACAATGACGTGCGCTTGGCCCAAGCCATTGCAAGGAGGAAGAAGAACTTCTATTTTGTTCGCACAAAAGTGGATTTAGATTTAGCCAGTGAGAAGCTGACTAAACCTACAGCCTTTAATGAGGACCGCATACTCCGAAGCATTCGAGATGACTGTGTGAGAGGGCTGCAGAACGCCCAGGTGAGTGCTCCTGAAGTATTCTTGATCTCCAGCCTTGATACCTCACAGTTCGACTACCCTGAGATGGAAACTGCCCTTCTGAGGGACCTGCCGGCTCACAAGCGCCACATCTTCATGCTGTGCCTGGGCACCGTCACAGAAGCCGCCATTGACCGGAACAGAGATGCCCTGAAGGAGAAGGCCTTCCTGGAGATCATGAAGGAGAGAAGATATGCCTGGATACCGCTTGTGGGCCTCTTCTGTGAGAGTAACTTAAAGAAGCTAGAGGACGTCTTGACCAGGTACAGGGCTCACTTTGGGCTGGATGATGCGTCACTAGATAAGATAGCAGCGGACTTTCACGTCTCCGTGGAGGAACTCAGAGCACGCCTGCAGTCTCGCCACCTCCTGTTGGCTCAGAGGGACGGAACCCTTGGGGAGTTCATGAGGCAGCTTCTGGAGAAGGTCCACGCAGTCACTGGAGGACCCTTCGCCGCTAGTGCGTACTTTAACAAGACCGTGTATTTTCACAATTATTTCCTTGACACTTTGGCAACTGATGCAAAAGCTCTCCTTAAGAAAGAAGACCTTTTTGGTGCTTCTGCCAGCTCTGCTTAGGGCCACAAAAATGGCTAAGTGAGGCAGTCACCACCGGCCCTCACCCTGCGGTGCTCACTGCTCTGGGCCTCTCATCCTTCCTTATGCTGTGCTACAAATTACCTGCTGCAAGCAGGTGCAGCATCCACACCCACAATAATCTATCACAAACTCCACAAGCTTCCCCGTGACTGCATGAGGCTTTGCCAGGACATCTAGACACAAACCCTAACATTCTGCCCCTGGATCCCCAAAGTCTCATGCCCATCATTTTATGCAAAAGGTATTTTAGTCCATCTCTCAGAGTTGCCAAAGCCCTAACAGTTTCAGCACTGCTGAAAGGTCTAAGTCCCAAGTCTCCTCCAAGATCTAAGGCAAACTCTTAGCTGTGAGCCCCTGTACAAATGAAAAGTTAAACACTTCCAACATTCAAAGGCATAGGATAAACATTACCATTCCAAAAGGTACACACAGAAGGATACTAAGCATTGGGAACAAACCAATTCCATATTAAGTCCTGTAGTTCCATGTAGAACACCTGAAGTAATCTGTGGCAAATTGTGAGCTCCATGTGACTCTACCCCTATGGCACTTGTGGTGGTGTTGCAGGCAACCTGAGTTAGATAGAAATATTGTAGGTAGTTAGACAGGGACAGGCCCTCGAAGGGGATGACAAAGACCAGACAGCTTACTGGGGAGATGCTCCTGGTGTGAGCCAGACCTAAAGATCAAACGAATGCTGACCTCCCTAAAGTTGGCATCCAGGATTGCTCATCAGTCGGGAAGAATCATTGACTGAAGGCCACCAGATAAGGTCACCCACTTGCTACATGACTCGCTACCCCATTTGGTCCTAGGCCTAATAAGTTTTACCTGAGCAATGGTGCTTGTAATTCCATTGGTTGACCATAGTTTTGTCCCACGCTGTATCTGCCTAAGCGGGACCTCTTTGTCTCTACCTTAGCCCCGCATGGTTTTGTCCTATAAAATAACCTAAAGGAGACAGCTTCCTGGGCAACCCGCTTGGGACCCCCCTTCTGTCCCTCTCCGACAGAAGCTTTCCTTTCCAATAAAGTTTTACCTTCAACCTCCGTTTGTTCCTAAAATTCATTCTTCGGTTTTAGAGAACACGGACTCTTTCAGGCCAGGTTGGGAATTTCACTTCCCTGTATCCGTGGTAGCTCCCGTGGCTTCTGTCTTAGGCTGGCTTTGCTCCTTCCTTGCAGTTTCTCTTAGATGATCCACGTACCTGGCTTTTCCAAACCTTTGGGGTTTCCAATGAATAGCTTCTCACTCGCAGCTTTACCCACTGCCCTCCCAGGGGCATGCTGCCTCGCCTCCCAGGCTGCCTTCTGAAACCTGGATGGAAGCCTTGTCAACCTCAGAGCTTCTGCATTCTGCGTGTGCCTAAGAGCAATGCCACGTGGATGACGCCAAGGGCTGCTGCCAGCTGGAGCAGCAGCCAGGCTTCCTTCTCTCTTGGCTGTAGGAGTCGAGTGCCTGAATCGCTGAGCACTCTGACCCTGATTCTGAGGAACAAATTCTCTGTGCCGGCGCCGTCCTGAAACCTGGTGTGGCCAGCACTGCCATTCTGAAACCTGGGGCTCTGTGGCTTTTTTCCTGAAGGCAAAGCCCCTGACCTTTGCAGTTCTGAGGCTGCCAAGGGTGGACACCTGCCACCTCCTGTGAGCCCTCATGCTGTCCTTTCCACCGTTTTATTCTTTCCTGGCAGTGGACATCCTCTAAGCTCTGTCTTAGCATTCCACAGCTTTCTTGGGAGCTTCTTTTCTGGCCAAACTCACATTTTAAACCATCCTGCTGGGCTCTTTGCTCTTCATTCTCTACATAAATCTGGCTAAAAGCTCTTAATGACAGCCATGCGACTGCCTCAGTATTTCACCGCTTTGAAATATCCTTTGCCAGATTGATCATTCCACCACACTTAATCTCAATCTCAGGCAAAGTCTCTGGACATGAACAAAATTCAGACAAACTTTCTGTCATGCCATGACACACATCATCTGCAGTCCAACAGCCAGTGCAGTCCTTCTTCCCAGCAGAACCCTCCCAGCCTGCTCTTTACAGGCAGGATTTCTATCAGCCTTCTGGTCTTCTGAGCTCTGAGCAGAATTTCCCGCAGAACACCCAAAGCTTTTTCAGCATTCTCTTGTAGGAACCTTTTCCTATCTCTTCCCGTAAGCTACACGCCAAATCCATAACCCACACGATCGGGTTTGGCCACAACAATGACCCCACTTCTCTGCTATCAAATCCTATCTCAGTTACTCTTCTCTCATTGCTCAGACAAATACCTGACACTCAAAATGACGCAAGGAAAGGTTTATTTAGCTCAGTTACTGGACATTTCTGTCCATACTCAGCTGGCTCCAAGACAGAGTGGCACACGGGAGAGAGCAACCTTTCATGGTGGTGGCAAAGAGCAGGGAGAGCCGGAGAGGGTGGCAGCAGCTCAGGCAGCCCGCGAACCTCTCATCCCTCCTTACACTGTAATGGAAAATTTCATGCCCACGACAAGTGCAGCCTCCACACCCACAATAAGCAATCACAGACTTTACAAGCTGCCCCATGACTCCATGCAGCTTTGAGGAGACAACCATACACAAACCGTAACACCAGCTCTTGGGAGGCTGAGGCAGGAGGATTGTTGCAAGTTCAAAAGCAGCGTGGGCTACAAATTGAGCTCAAGTCCAGCCTAAGCTGAATAACAAGACCCTGTCAAATAAATAAATAAATGAATAAGTCCCAAACCTTGGACCCTGAACCAGTCACAAACTAGATTCAGCTGCCTTTACAGTCGCTCCACGATGCCGAGGCTTTGGGGAGCGTTTCGACACGCACCGAGAGGCGCACCCACGCAGGCTTCCTGCAGAGCCTCCAGAGCAGGCGTGCTCCGCTCCAGGCCAGGCTGCAGACACCAGCACCAGTGCTGCGAGGGGGGCACCGAGCGGCTCACTGACCTACGGCAGAGCTCCGCAGGGCCCCGGCTCCCACGGTGTGTGAATCATCTGCACTCTACTTCACTTTAAAAGGCGACAGTGGGTGGGGCTGGAGAGAGAGCTCCGCAGTCTAAAGGCCTGCCTGGCAAGCACAAGGACCCAGGTTCGATCCCCCGTACCATCAGGTTGCACCCCCAGTACCACGTGCTGCACAGGCATGCCATGCCAGCCACCAAAGTTGGGCATTGTGGCACACACCTGTAATGCCAGTGCTGGGGAAGCTGAGACAGGAGGATCTCTATGAGTCCAAGCTGCATAGTGAGACCCTGTAACAAGTAAATAAGTAGGTAATTTTTAAATAAGTGATAGTACACTCCATTTCATCAAATAAGGGCCAGGGAGATGGCTCAATGGAATAAACACTTGCCTGGTAAGCACAAGGGCCTGAGTTCAATCCCCAGCTCCACCAAAAAAAAACAAAAAAACCTCCCAAAAAAAACATCAAATAATCCTGCAAACCATACCATCAGAAATGTACCATTCAGGGCTACAGGATAAATCCTGAGAGTACTTGGCTGACCTTATCAGATACAAAAGTTACATTTCTGGGTATATAGGTCTTGCTATATCTTGGTCTTAACCATCCAGCAGAAAAGTATAAAAATGAGGTATATAAAGTAAATCCATATTAATATGATGGGCTGTAAAAGGCTCAAGTCAATAACTTCTGAGGATAACCCACTAATATTATAAACTGCTAGCCAGTGTTGGATTGTTTAGTTGAATTCAAACACCTATATTATTTAAATGCCAATAGAATATTCACCTCTGATAGGACAAAAAAAATAAAAATTAATTAAAAAAAGAAACAAAAGAGAGATCATTTTGTATTTATATATACAAAATAGGATAAATTTACAGCTACTTTTGCTTAACTCAGTGAGAAGAAAGAGGTGTACTAACAGTGTTTGGACAGAATATCCTGTCTGCTTCTTGTACTATGGATAACCACAAGAAGATAACAACGTACAGTGTATCGACTATCAAAATCTGTCCTATTAATCAGCTGTGAAACTGTCTTATTCATATTTATTTCTCAATTAAAAAAAAAAGAAAAAGAAGTGTACCATTAAGGTCTGGCCAGATAGCTCAGTGAATTAAAGCACCTACTTAGGCAGAAGCAGGGACTGGGGTTCGATCCCTGGTGTGCTGGGCCAGCCCTGCCCCTCAGGCATGCTGAGACAGCAATTGAGACTGGGTGTGGTGACACATGCCTGTAATTCCAGCACTCATGAGGCTAAAAACAGGAAGATCACTAGGAGAGTCTGATCTGTGTAGTGAGACCCTGTCCTAACTACAAACAAAACAAAACAAAACAACAAAACATATACAACATTGTAGTAAGACAATCCTGATGACATTTTATGATATGCTTAAATATTTTTTTGTTTTATTTTGACATAACATAAGACTTTTAACCAATCATCTCTATCTAATACATAAAAATCTTTAATTGGTCCTCCTTGAATTAGATATGCATCACAAGTTTTTTATTAAAGGCAGAAGTATGAATCTGAAAAAAAGTCTTATTCCAGTAAGCAATCTTTGTTTTATATTTTGAAATACTTGTACACCTGAAATCAGAAATTCACTGAATATACCATGAGATTCACAATATTGAATTGCCGTACACATATGAAAACCTTTATTTCTTAATTTTGTACCAAAGCCATCTTTAGAAAGAAAACCTTTTTTTAATTTTTTAAAAAAGTTTATCTTTTAACTAATGACCAGTTTTTTGAGGGTTTTTCCTAAGAGACTATTGAGAGTATTGGGAGCTCCTTATTAATGAATAAAAAGGTTGGCCACACCTCTTATTCATCAATTGGACTCCTCTCTTAATTTTTCCCACTCTATGAAATTATTGTTTAATTAGCTTAAACCTTATGATGAACTGTGTATAAGTCAATTTTAATGTCACTGTATCTGGTAATTTAGGGAAAAGCATGCTTTTAAGTCCAAATCTCAACTTATATTTGGAGCAAATTACCATAATACAAAAAAGAGGAATAGCTGTTCATTGAAAGACTCACAAGGGCTGGCCAGATAGCTGAGCGGATTAAAGCACTTGCTCAGGCAGATGCAGGAGTTGGAGGTTTGATTCCCTGGCCAGCTATGCTGGCCCTGCTCCTGGGGTGAACTGAGGCAGCAATTGAGACTGGGTGTGGTGGTGCGTGCCTACA